CATGCCACATGTGCATGACATCTGTGTATATGACTTTTAAAAGTTAGAACATGACGTAATAGTGTAGTAGTAGATCTAGTACAAGTAGTGTAGAAGCAGTAAATGCAATGCAAAAAGTCTCTCTGTCCTCCCGCCCATTAAACAAACAACTATCTATAGACCTGTCTCTGGGTCAGAGGTGCAGAGGACGAATCTTCAGTAAGCAGACCGTCTGTTAGTTGTTCGTTCATTTGCGAGTATTACCAGTGAACTGTTCGTTACTCGAGGACGCTGAATTAGCGAGCTTGACCCAACTCTGTAGTAATTTTAAAATTTACAGTAAAAAATCTGAGATGAGAGTCCCCTAAAAAAGAAAGTTGCTACGTATAAAACATTTGTTTTAAAGGTAATAAAGGACCTTATCATTCAAATTGTGTTTAAAAAAAATTAGGGATCATGTTTGCAAAGAATTTGGGTTTTTTTGTAACAAAATTCAGTTTAAGATTTGGCTCTTGTAAAATTGTAAAAAACTGCATATACATTACAGTATTTTTAAAAATAAAAATGATGGCAGAACTCAAGTATAGTAGCAAGATTTCGAACATACTATACTTCCAATATTCACAATCACTATCCCAGGACTCTTGGCAAGATGTAATTGTCACTGGATTTCTATCTTTCATTATTTTTAAGCTGGTTGAAAAATAATATTTCACATAGGTTACATTATGATAAATTTTACTCAGAACGGATTTATAAGCCTTACACTTCTATGCCTCTAAAATATGAAGGCTTATACCAGGCCTATTACGAAGGCTTTGATCCATCAACTTTCCCAATGGTGACTTACAAGACTTATTTAAAGTAGGGCCTACACTAGTACATGATCCCAAGGCCTATAAAACTCTTTAAGCCCTGAGTTTTTTCCACTGTTTCCCGGAGTTCTTTTTTCTACAGTCACTTAAACCCTAGTACACTACGTCTCATTAGAACCCCAAAAGCTTGCCTCCAACTTCTAAATAGCGGAAACAAAGGCTTATAAATTCATCACTAAAAAACTTGGTTCGGGAATAGTACCGAAAAACAAGCAAAAACTAGCACTAAATAAAACAAAACAGCTGTCACTACTGGACGCTCCCAGCGTCCGATGGGGAACAGGGTTATTACCGCCGGACGTTCCCAGCATCCAATGGGGTTCAAAGAGTTAAAGGTGTTTACAGTTGTACACATGATATGACATTGCACTGGATGTAGCTTTAGACTTTAAAAGTTTAAGCCTAAAATGAGTTGCACACAGACAGAGAGTTCAAGGATGAAGGGGGAGTGCTGGATGGAGACTTTATGACCCACTTCAGACTTGACTTTGAATTCTAATTGTGTAGTGGTAAATTTTAACTTTCACTCTTGCACACTGGTGCACATCTTCAGGGGTTAAATTGCAGTATTTTTTGCCGCAGATCACTCATCATAAATATAGAGCCAAGTCTAAAACTGTCGCAAATCAATTTATTTACAAGAAAATTTCAAACGAAGAAACTGCAAATGATCAAATTTGTTGTTTTTACCTAACACTCCAATCTCATGCTCTCAAACATCAGATCATGGGGGATAACGGGCTTGCCTGTTGACTGGTCCAAAGCGTGGAAATTACTACCAGGTTAAGGGCTTAGTGTGATATATATCTTTTAAAATATTTTTTTAATAGTAGAGGGTTTTACGGCGCTCGCAACTGCATTTGGTCATATGAGCGCCAAGGGGTGGGTTAGACTGCTCACCTCTCTAGCTTCAACAGCACAAGGTCTGCTTCGACTATCAAGGCACCCTGGAAATAGAAGGGTCACAAGAGAGTGACAAACATACAAAAGAAGTAGAGGAAAATGACAATAGTAAGGATCAGGAAAGAAAAAGCAACAGCTCCCTGTTGTAGATCTGACACAGTTATGAGCGTGACATGAGTCAGCCCATTTACAATTCTACTATGCTTAAACGAGAAATCTCCCCCCTTTGGGAATGGCGTAAAGACACTACAGTCAGTAGCACTGCCCCGGGGAGTAGTGTGCTATATAGCGCTATTAAAAACTAAGCGTTTCAGAAATGATTAATTTGCGACGGACATGAAGTTGATATAATTCGTGTTCAGTGCATCAATAAATAATGGAAACTGTGGTAGAAGGTCGGTAAGTGTGAGGGAAAGTTAGGTCTACCATTGTAGCCTTATAGCCTATCAATTGTAGTGAAAATAAAAATAACAAAAATCGCAAAGTCATTATTTTTGGAGAAGAAGTAGGCCTAGATCTAGATTCACTTCTAGCCTTATTACAGTCCCTTCAAGACCAAAGCAAAGCCGTGTTTAATAAAAGGCCGGCTCTATTTCTCCGAACGTTCGGGAAAATAAACTTGAATTCTACTTTTCCTAACAGTTTTCGTTCTCGAGATTTGTTGATAATTTAAGCGAATGGAGTGGCTCGTGTGTGTGTGTGTGTGTGTGTGTGTGTGAGTGTGTGTGTGTGTGGGTGTGTGTGCCTGTGTCGTGTGTGTGTTTGAGTGTAAGTGAGTGCATTTGTGTGTGTGTGTGTGTGTGTGTGTGTGTGTGTGTGTGTGTCTGTACGCTGTGTAAGGAGTGGAGGGATTTTTTTTTTTTAACATGAAATATATTAGTTTTTGCTTGGTGACTAAATGCAAAATAGGTTACTGCCAAGGTCGAGCAGTCTTGTTTTCTCGCTGTACACCTTTTGAAGGTATTTTCAAATGAAGTATAGTCTGTGAACGTTGCCCCAACCACAACTGAAGTATATCTGAATATTCAGACATTTAAAAATATTTAGCTCTAGAAATTGAATTTGATGCAAAAAATGTTTCTTCCCAGTCCTTGCAGAATGGCAGAATGAAAGGATGACGCCTAAATCTCGATAACCCCAAAAACCTCGAGACCGGAAACCGTTTGGAGAAATAGAGTTTAACTTTATTTTCCTGAACGTTCGGATAAATAGTTAATAAAAAAGCAACAATTTCAAAACTACAAAGTCAAAGTCGTTTTAGTTTTGGTAAGAAGAGATTTACGGCACTTGCAACCAGGCGTGGTTCGTCCATAGAGCACGGTCGTGCAGTGCCGCCCAAAATTTTTTAACGTTCTATTACGTAAAACACCCACAATAATAAAATAAAAGAAGCCAGAAACAAACACTAGCCAAATATTATATCGAAACGAGGTCCTCACTGGCACCATTATACCATACTGTCATTTCCGTGTCTTAGTCTTACAGCGCCGTAAAATATCTACTATGGCATGCCAAAGTCAACGCGCTTTAGCTAAACATAACAAGATATTCAACAGTATAACCTGACCTATAAATCACTCTTGGGGATAACCCAAGTGATGACGACACCCGTAGCAAGTATGGCAGTACATTAATATTATATAATAAGACGGCACATCTCAAATGTGCTCCAGCCGAAGAGTACCGAAACATAGCCTGCAGTAGGCAGTCTAAAAATAAACACGACAGACCGTACGCTATTCTTTGCCAATATTACGTGAGCTCCGGAGCAATCCAGCGGAGTGCTCAGTGAATTGTGATCGGTTCTTTGTCTGTCTTGCCACTATTTTAAGTGACTCTGTGACCATGAACCTGATGGAGGTGAACGTAACCATCCTATGAGTTGTGCCTTTGTGGAATGGTTTGGTAGTGGAGTAGTGAAAGTTATTACTTGAGTGTTCAGTTCAAATACAGGATGAACGAAATTGACGTTTAGCTAACAAAAAAATTTAGTACTAGAAATTTAGAAATTAAAGCGACAAGTAAAAAGAAATTTGAAAATAAAAGCACAAAGTCCTCCCTCACCAACCCAAATCGTAAAATTATACACCGTCTCATTTACTATGCCCTTGACTATCTTCAGCATGCGAAGCTTAATTGTGCACGTCCACTTTTTAGCCCCACGAGCCGCCCCTGCTTGCAACACAATAAGATAAAGTCAAGACGCTATAAGTGCCGAAGAATAGATATGTTACCGAGAGTAACATAATATAGCCTACACACAAAAAAGAAGGAGGAGAGATTTAAGGAAACCAAAGTTGACAGGAACGGAAAAATGCTCAAATTAAAAAAAAATGAGAATGGGAAGAATGCTAGTTGAAGAGTTTGTCGTCCTGCTTCTTTATTGAACTGTTACAACATACACACGTAGTTGGAGCTAATATAGACCTAGATCTACATCTAGATCTAAGTGTAAAAGGTAAGGCTAAATTAGTAGTCTAAATCTAGATCTAGAATCGGGAAGATTGAAGAATACCGGACCACTCGTAGATTCTATACATTTTGCGCGAGAATGTGGGGTGGGTGGATGGGGTGGAGGAGGGGGTGGGGGGTTCAGGGGGGTCTCCCCCCTGACAAAATTGTAACGAATAGATCTACCGGTCCGAGATTCGGTGATCTTATACTTTAGCACGTTAAATTCTTCAATTGAGGACTTCCGAAACGAGCGACCACTTACAGATCTGGATCAAAATTCTATGTCATCAAGATTATACTCAAACTCAATGGCTTCCAAAATCGTGATGTTATACGTTCTGTTCATGACAAAATTACGGTAGTTTGCACATTTTTAGGCCCAGTTCAAAGTTTTGAAGGTCTGAGTCGGGGATTAGTAGACTTTGGGAATTTAACGTGCTAAAGTATAAGATCACCCGAGATTCTCCATTGAGAGATAATAATTAAAACGAATTAAAAACTGGGGAAAATCATGAATTCCTAACCTAAGTTGAGACAGGGTAAGTCAGTCCGCTGGTCCGGTATTCTTCAATCTTACCCTAGAATCTATCTAGATCTAGATTCTAGATCTAGCAGTAGCAGTAGCTGAGTAGCAGCTGACTTAAGTGAGTAAGGCGGAATGAAAATGTCAAATGAATGGGAGCAATAATAAATATATGACAACAACAACAAGGAACAAGACATGACAATCCAAAGTCCAACACTTCTATCGATTTCTGTGTTGTTTACAGGACCTTGTTTACTACTCACTGGTTGATTCCGTGATGTATATCCGTGATCAACGACTATGTTTTGAAAGTGTAAGCCTTGACTGAGGTAACAGGTCAGCCCGACGATTAGGCTAGGCCTCTATCATCAATGAAGAATGAAGACAGGATGTAGCCAAGGCTACTTTAAGGTGATGTAATCAATCTTCAAAAAGAAATGAGTTAACTCAGGGATAGATTCCGCAGGTAATCCGTTACTAGTCGTTCGCAAAGGAAAAGTTTGTCTTTCGTAACACCTAGGCTACCATTACATTGTATAAGGATATTTAGCAAACACATTTACAATTACACCCACAGAATAGTTGTTTCAAACCAAAAATAAGGACATGAACTTTGTTGTAACACAATCAGGAATGAATGTTCTTTCCATTGAAATTGAAACACTTTGTTTTTATTTTCTTCGTATTCAAAGGTACATAACTCTCATCTTCTCATCTCAAAGTCTCAAGTCTCAACTTTCACTGCAGTGAGAGACGTAGAGGAAACGTCTCACTATTCACTATTATTATCATTAGTATAGATCTAGCCTAGCTTTTGTTATTGATTATTGATTAAAGAACTTAGTAGATCTAGATCTAGATCTAGACTTAGTAGTTGTGACCTATATAAGAACAATCAGTAAGATCTGCCAGCCTACACCTTTTTCTAGCCTTGCAGTCAGTTTTTGTACAAACAATCACAGTGTACTTTAACTTTAGCAAGAGCAGGCGCTGGAGTCATTCCTTTCTTTCTAAATCAAGAGTGATCAACGCTGTCGGAACGGGAAACGTGTGTCGTTTGACGTTTGAACATTCTTGCAACATTTAAAGAAGTTTGAACGTGATTTAGATCTAGAGATTCTAGATCTAGATCTAGAATCTGTATACTGTATTTCAACTTTCACTCTTCTCAGTCCAAAAAGATGTCTCAAAATAAAGTGTGAGTGGGAGCAATTTTCTTACTGTAGACTTAAATAAATTATAGATCTCGACTCTAGATTCTAGATATCTAGATCTAGACTAGAATCTAGATCTAATAGATTTTATCTTCAATCCGAGGCGAGGCGGGTGATTTTGTAGTTTCGTGCGTTAAAGTCCAAAGCTGAACGCCAGAGACCCTGAATAATCGTTGAGTAGTGAATTATAAGCGTGAGACAGGAAGGAAACACTAAAGCCAGAAAATCAAAATTCAAGCAAAGAATGGCGCTTTTCGTCAGTTCCCACCCCCCAATACTATTCGCCAGTTTGAGCCCCAAGAGTCAAGTCTTCTCTGGATATAACAAAGGGATCATTGACTTTGAGGAACGGAACTACAAGATCGCCGCTAGCTGTAGCCTACTTTAATGACGGCTAGACTGCTAGGCTAACCGAACTTAACCCTATCCGTACGTCATGTTTTACTATCGTGTCCATATGAGGTGGGGAACTCTTTGCCACCACAAGTTTCAAAGAGGAAATTTACTTGCAAATCCCATCCGTACGCTTTGCATGATAGCAGACTGTCAAAATGATTTTTTGAGAAATACTGAAAGTTTCAGAGATCTTTGTACTAGAAGTATTCTAAAATGTGAAAAATGCAACCCCGGGGGTACAAAATGACCCCAGGGCGTACGGATAGGGTAAGTACTGGCTACTGCTTTTCAGAAAATAAAGAAAAAGAAATAGTACAGTTAAACACAGATGGGTAGCTCGAATTTGTTGGTACCTGCCTCGATAGTTCGAGGGATCCATAGTTCGAGGAATATGTGAACAGTGTTATAATGGCATCGGCTGTGTCAGAGACTCAAGGGAAGCTACAAAGTTTGCTAATTTAGGGGCAAAACAACAGATCGTGTGATACACTACCCTTCCTCTTGCCCGCTCCACACAAAAGCCTAGTTAGATAATCACTGGGCAAGCTGGTTGTGCACATGCTAAAAATCATTGGACATGTGTTTCGAGCGTACACTAAAAATAGCACAGCTAGCTCAGCTGCTTCTGTGGAGGGGGAAGGTGGTATTTTACTGATCTTGCGTTTATATTATTATAATTATTATTATTATTATTAAATTTTGATTATGATTGTTCATATTATTTTGTCTCAAGTGCACCTCAAAGGACATTGACTTTAAAGACCTCTACGGCGGCGTAATTAGTTCGACTATTCCATATCATATATTGTGTTTGCGGTTTGCGTAATTTTCTTAAAAGAAAAAAAATTGAACCACAGGGACCTTTTGACAGTGTGATTTCGAGTCTTCTGTGTTCGACCTATCTGTGATAAATACTGTAGATTGTAGAGGGCACAGAGGTTGCTATCACAATGACCAGGAGTTTGCACTTTACAGTTTTGCATAGATCTTGGTATAATTTAATATTTCACTCTGTGTCAGTTATATAGTGCATGGTATGGTGGTCTATAGACTGATAAAACTTTGATACAGTCTCTATAAGTCTCTTCCTTGACATGTCATTTATGATGATTTTTGATTTTTTAAAATTTTGCTCCTACTCATGTTAGATTTTTGCTTCCCACAGCTATGGGCTGATCTTGCCGAAAAAAAATACTCAAGGGAAGGGAAGCAAACCAACAACCACCTCTTTCAATGTGTTTGGAGATGAGAGCGATGAGGTAAAAAGAAAAATGAATGGGAGCATCATGTACCCATGCATTTTTGTTCTTGTGTTGTGCTTTAAATTTAATATTTCCCTTGTTATTGAGATTGTCTCCTTTGCGTAAAAGTTTAACTGCGGCATTTAAAAAAATAGTTTTTTGTTAGTTTTAAAATAAGATCAAACTCTTTTTAACAGCAGCTTGTTTTTAAGACAATCATCTGTAAAATTGCCCACCCACCAACTTTCCCTTTGTGTTAAAAAAAAGATTGTATTGTAATACCACTGTCCAAGACTTTTACCCTTCTAAGGAAACCAGTTTGCGTCTCGGCAATAGGTGGCCGACTTGGGCAATTTGTCTATAGGCCTATTCTTTTTCTTCTTGTGCTATCAACAGTACACTGCTCTTTTCTTTTTTTCTTTTTCCTTTTTTTTTCTGGGGTGAAAGCTCAAGCTGTGCTGCTTTTCCAAGACTGTAAAGCAATTCAATATTGGCATGTATCATGTTATAAATTCAGAATACCAGACATCTGTTAGAAGAAGAAAACGTTTAATTTGGAAATAAAGCAATAACTGCCAGGTGTACAAATTCATACATACCATCTTTGATATGAGCTATTCAGTCATCATCAGGTGTGTGAGAATGATATAATTTTGTTAGTCCATTTTTGACTCTTCATGCGTAAGGATTAGGAAAGAAAAAGCAGCAGTTCCGTGTTGCAGTTCAGCAGACCTGCCACTCATCCCGATTTAGTCGGGATATCCCGATTTTTTGCTCCAAATCTCAAGCATCCCGATTTTCCCGATTTCGATCGCGTGTATCCCGATTTTTTGTCCCAGTCTGCTGTTGTGTCGGATTTTAATTAAAACGTACTCTGCCTTCTCCTTTATCGCGGGAAGCACCCGTTGAACTTTTTGTCAGTAGGAACTCGGAGCACTATTTCCCGAAATATCGATGCCGCAATTAGTAGTTGACTAGCCCCGAGTTGTGTGTGATCTTTGCCCGCACTCAGAATTCTCCGATGATAGCCTGGTAACTGTTACAATTTGGGACATACAAATAATCGATAATATTCGTAGTTCCGCTGCTACTTTCAAAACAAGCCTTGTCCGAGGTCTGGTAACTGTGCGTTCACACCAAACACTCGGACGAGCGACTGTCTTTCTAACCCTTATACAACTACATGTAACTGCGCTGACAAGACAAACATACGGCCGATGTCGTTGCTTTAGTCTGAACGCATTATGAGGTATAAGAGATTTGTTGGTACAATTGGTCGGTCGGCCGCTGTTGTTATCCAAGAGTACTAGAAGTGGAATGACTGTCGCTCATCTGAGAGTTTTGTGTAAGCGCGCAGTTTGTCGGACCCGTTAATAAAATTGTTTCAATCGCCCATTCGCGTCACATGACATGGCATCGCCGTGTGAGTTCTGCGTGTCGGGGACCGTCCGTTTTCGGGGTCAACTTAAGTTCATGTATTTCGGGACTTATTGGTTGGGATGGGGAGGGGGGGTATAGACACTTAGAGTAGGAGTGCTTGACGCGATGCTTCAGGATTTACAAAAAATAATGATAACTCGCACGCACGCGCGCACACACACAGACACACACACACACACACACACACACACACATACACGCGCGCGCGCGCGCACGCAAACAAACACAGACACTCAGGGGGCATATAGGCCAAGTAATTTATGGATACCCCTGGAAAAATTCTAAGTCAGCTTTGGCAGTCACCTTGGTGATTTGCTGTTGATCCCGATTTTTTTCACCAATTCCCGATTTTTTCTCCCTGAGATCCTGATTTTGAGGTTTCATAGAGTGGCAGGTCTGAGTTCAGGCACAGTTATGAGCATGACATTGATGAATCAGCCCATTTACAATTACAATTCTACTGTGCATAAGAACTCAAAATGTTAATGTCCCCCCCCCCCCTCCCCCCTTTGGGAATGGCCTAAAGACCTTTCAGTCAGCAGCACCGCCCAGGGGGTTATGTCCTATTTTATCTTATCAATATGAAAAAAAAAAAACAGTAGAGAAATACATCACAATTTTTCTAATTCCTTTTTAAAGGAGGAGACGACTCAGGTACCAGTGGCCCCATACGGACAGGGAAAGTCTTCCAGTTCCAGCAAAATGAAGAGACAGGCATGTATTTAGTTTATTTTTAGTAAGACGTTAGAGGTGTTACTGCAGAGTAATATAGAAGTAATATAGAGTAATATATTAAAAAAAGGAAGAGAGACAAAGATGATAGGGGCACACCCAATCAGGGCACCTGACAACCACCCACAGGTATGTGTTTGTCACTTTCAGATGCTTTTAAGTAAAAATTTGTTTGTTTGACTAAAGAGAAGAAAACCGACATTATGATGGTCATTTTGTGCAGGTAAATAGAAAGGACAGAGAGAAAAAGAAAAAGTAAGACCTACCAGTGGTGCCGTGTAACCACCAGCTTCCTCTGCTTTCAATGATTTTAAATATCATCATCATCCAGTGCAAGATCTGCGACAGACATCGGCGATCATGGTTTTCCATTCATTCCTTTGCTCGGATGCTCTCAAAAAAGCTACGTTTCCCTGATCTTTCCCTGTTACCCATTTGTTTAGGTTCCCCAAGTATGTTGCTGTGGGTCTACCCCTGCCTCGCTTGCCCTCAATTTTTCCAGTGAGAGCTAGATGTTCAAGACCCTTATGTCTATTCAGGTGTCCCAAAAACTGCATTTGTCGTTTCCTGATTGTTTTTAGCATTGAGCGTCCCACGTGGGCTTCATCAAGCACTACCTCATTTGATTTCTTTTCCTTCCATGATTCTCTTAGCAGTCTCCTAAGATACCACATTTCTGTTGCCTCTATTTTATTTTCACTGTCTTTAGTGATTGTCCAGCATTCACATCCATATAGAAGGGTTGACCAAACATAACATTTCAGGACTTTCATTTTGATGTTCATTGAGATGTTTCTATTTTTCAGGATTGGGCTCATTTTATTGAAACTAGCCTTAGCCATTGTAGTTCTCCTCTTTATTTCTGTGGAACATTTGGCGTCAGATGTTATCATATATCCGATATATTTAAACTGTTGGACTTGTTTGATCTTTTCACCTTTGCTAATGAGATTACAACTAGGGTTTGCTGCTTTTTTGGATATTACCATGCATTCTGTTTTCTTTACATTCAACAATAATCCTTTATGTTCACTTTCTGTTACAACAGTATCTAGAAGCAATTGGAGGTCCTTTTCGGAGCCTGCTATTAAAACTGTGTCATCTGCATACCTGATGTTATTAATATTTTCTCCATTTACTTGGATTTTAAATATACTGGTGATAAAAACAAAGGTACTACTTTTTTATTGCTTATAAAATCTAGTCTTTTGAGTATTTATGCTTTTTCTTTCACATGATTGATACTAAGTACCCTAAAAAGGAGGTCATGTAGTAGAAATAATATTTTGGTGCTGGTTAATTAGTGTTCACAGCATCAATGTTTAAAAAATAGAAAATTGGCACCTTTTCTCTGACGAGTGACAAAATATTTCTGTTCTTTGTTATTTAATGGAAGTTAACTCTGTGTTCACTGAAAGCCGCAATAATATTTGATCATTGTCACCCAAGAAAGAAAGTAGTTTTAACTCCACATTAGAGAAATCAAACCATTGGCATTCTCCGTGCATTTCTGATGTTGCCAGGACATTCAAATTCAACGTCTGTTTTTCTGTTGACTTTTATGTTTAAAAAGTAATAAGGATAGTCTTGCTATGTATATGTAGTCCTAGAGAAAGTGCTTCATGGGTAGCAAAACCAGCCAAAATGTAAACTGATGTTAAGATTGACAGGAAAGTCGTATTTATATAAATATATATATAAGAACATTTTGATTGCGGTGCTCAGTGATTTGTTTTTTCTGAGTTGTTGGTTATGTACAAAATAGTTCCTGTCTGATGTCTCACCCCCATGACTGTTGAATGGTTTAACTCTAACTTTATTCCGGTAACTTCCTTTCTCACGGCAGACTCAAATGGACATTGACAAAGCACTCCAAGAGGACCCAAGTGTGTATGAGTATGATGAGATCTATGATGATATGCAAGCTCAGAAGCCAAAGGTTGGAGCGAAAGAAAAGGAAAGCAATACAAGTACAAAAGATCGCAAGGTGAGACTTATTGTAAAGAATTTTTTTCTTTAATGATAAAGGTTGTGTGTTGCCAGGTAAAAGTTGTAATTTTCTTCATTATTTGAACAGTCTTCTATGTTCTGTGGGTAAAACCCTTGATTATTTTTTTTCCATAATGGGTGGGAATAGCTTGTTGTAACGAGGCAAATCAGTACAACATGATTTATATGGCTATGCAGTGAGAATTTCGTCCTTTTTAAAAATGCTGGTAACCCCGCACCCCTTCCATTCCAGTCCCGAAGGAATCACTGTCAGAAAACTGAATGAAAGATTTGATTTTGTTACAGCCAAAGTACATTGCTGGGTTGCTGAAGGCAGCTGAGGTGAAAAAGCGCGAGGAAGAAAGACGAAAAGAAAGACAGGTAAGTTGCGTATATTAAATTTTACTCTATCACTGAGCTGATGGCAGAAACATTTTCATTATGTTCTTAGTATGTTGTGGAGCAAGTAAAAATGAGTAGCTTATCAAAATAGCTCAATTTTAAAAACTAGTTTTGCATTTTAGAGTTACAAGGGTTTTATATTTCTGTTTCATCAGTCTTCTGTGAATTCAGATATTGTTTATTGTTGCGATGTATTTGTATATTTTTCACCTTTTAAAAAATGGTTTATTTATGTTTATATACGGTATTGGTTTTATAATCTGAGTATGGCTTTTGTCTTCTATAGCCATACACTACACTGTAACTTGAAAATAGGTTGGTTTATTTTACTAGTTGTGACTGAAGGTAGGGACCAATGTAAAATTAATGAAAATACGTTTTGTCTTGCCGTATTGATTTGGCTGTAACTTATTTCCTGAAGGTGAGGCTCACCTTTCAAAACCACAGTCTTTTTTAGAATGGGACTGAACAGTTTTGAACAAAGAAGTTTCCTTTCACAAAATATTTGCATGGTTCTCTCTGTGCTGTTTTTTAAAACCAAGTTCAAGCTAAAAATGTAGAGGTCAAATAGAATTATAAGTGTTTGTCTTAAATGGGAATCTAATGTTTTGGTAAGCCGGTCAAGAGATTGAAAATCACTGTCCTCTGTTGATGCGATTTAAGTAAAGAAAAAAAAAGATAAATTAAGTTTTGCTGTCATACTTCAGTTGCGAAGGTTTTTTTAATGACGAAATTGGATTGAAACAATAATTTTGTGCTTTTGTGTGAATTTTAAATGTAAGGGCTATTTTCCATGATTCCCAAAATGTCATTATAAGGAGAAAAAAAAATGTCGTAAGCATAAGCTGCTTAACATCCAAGAGTTAAAAAACTTGCTTACAAGCCAACATGTCTCAATGAAGACTCACTTAAAACATTGGCTTCAACAGTTGCAGACCATAACGTACAAGTCTGAAATAAGGTCAAGTTTTATTTGTGTCTGAGAAAGTGGCTTGGAAATCCTCGTGCATCATGTCTTAATGTAGTGCAAATTAGTGGAGCGGAAATTTAGTATAAGTCATAAGTACTGTGTTGACACCAAACATGTTTGTATGTTTCTGGCTAGCTTGACACTTGCATATTTTTTTCCCCCCTTTTTATAAAGGATTTACATGCTGTGGGACAGTTACTGTTGACATGTCATTATAGAAACAAGGGCATGATGTGTGTCTGGGTGGTTGGCAGGTGCTCTGGTGTGGGTTGCGCCTTCTTTCCTATCAAACACCTATCATCCTGATCTCTTCCCCTTCGTTTTTGTGTTTGTTACTCTCTTGTAATTCCTTTAATCTGTAAAACTCTTACTTTACTGAACAGAAGTTCATTTTTCATTAGATACCGAATACACCACCATTGTTAGCTTTTAAACGTACAATATATGGAAGCACTTGTGTGCCCTATCGCTTTTATTGATAATATATTATCTTATCATTTCTGTTACTTTCCAGGTTCAAAAAGAAAGAGAGGCAGAAGGGGCGAAGTACGCAGATAAAGAATCGTTTGTCACTTCAGCTTACAAGAAGAAGATGTTGGAGATGCAAGCAGAGGAAGAGAGAGAGAGACAAGAGGCTGCCATGGAAGGTTTGGCAATATTTATCTATATACTTTGCATTTTAGGGAACATTTTTACCGCTTTGAGCTGTGCTTATTAGAGCTGCCAAGAACTGTGCACCTAACCTACTGTGTGTAAGCTGTTAAGCACGCATCGCCATATTATAATGCTGAGGTGTGTATGACAGCTGTTAAGAATACACCGTCTTATGGTGAGATATGTGTGTGACAGCTGTAAAAAACACAGCGCCATATTTTGAGATATGTGGGAAAGCTGTTAAGAAGACAGCGCTATATGTTGAGATATGTGGGAAAGCTGTTAAGAAGACAGCGCTATATGTTGAGATATGTGGGAAAGCTGTTAGGAACACTGGGACATATGCTGAGGTGTGTGTGTGTGTCAGTTGCTAGGTTTATGCATTAAGTGGACAGAAGAGAAGAGGTAGACACACTCAGGTCCATTGAGAAGAGAGAAAAATAATTGTTTGGTTCTTTATCATTTAGAAGCTGTTCCAACCATGCTTCTGATGCCATTTTTCACAGTACTGGCCTTTGAAATTAAAAGCTAGACACTTTTTCATGTCACGAATGAGGTAAAATGGGATAATCGTACATCTAAGATGGCAACTGACATTCACTGTGTCAGAAATGGCTGTTCAAGTGTTTGTTTAATGTAATGAAAGAAAATGCAATTGCTTTGTGGTAGTGTGCTTCTAAGTTTTCTTTCATTTTTGTGTGCCATTTGTTTAGCAATTAAAACATATTGTCTTCTTAAATGGTCTCAAAGCTTGAAATTCATAGCAATTGCCACTCTAACTTTCTTTCTTTTCTGTTTTTAAATATATTTTGGTGTGTTTTCCTCATACAACTTCAGCTATGACAGATGTCACCAAGCAGAAAGACATGAGCGGTTTCTACAGATATCTGTACCGCCAGACTACAGGTGGTAAGGTGAAGCCAGAACCTCAAGTGAAAGAAGAAAAGGATGAGAACAGGCAGAATGACAGGTGGGATGTCTCCTCTTTTTTTTTTTGTCTTTAAAAACACTGGATCTGAAACAGACATTTGAAATTATAGTTCACTTGTCATCTCTCTGCTAGGATGCTCCCACTAAAAACGTTATTATCCTGGTCTGTACCCATCACACATCTATTTTAGTTCTCTTAGTTAGTTATTTTTGGTCTACCTCTATCTACCTCTTTCACCTTTTGTTTGTCTTTACTGTGAGAACAAGTTGTTCAAAGCCTCTATGTAGGGTGAATTTATCTGGTCGTTTTTAAGCACAAGGGGGCTATCCCGAAAAATCCTGTTTTGAGAAAATCGAAGGTAAAGTTTTTGCCCCTTGTTCAGTTTCTTTAAAAGACAAAGACAGTTTCCTCTATAACCAAACAAATATATACACCAATGGTACCTAACTTTTCCTATAGGTAGGGCAATGTCCACTTTTTGTGTAGGTCAAGATTTCTGGAAACACCCTTAATCTGGGTTAGCCCGCTTATCCTTAAAAGCGACCATATATATGTGAGGCATCGTGGTGAAATCAGGCGCTCATCAAAATATTGAAATAGGAGGTACTGGCATTTTTCCACCGGTTTTGCAATTTTTATCGAAGTATTGTTTTTTGGCTCGACACCTATTGTGTCCATATGTTGATTAACACTTTGCAGTCACGCAGCCAGCAGTACAAAATACCCCATCTGGTCACCCAGCCAGGAGAGCGACTACAACGGACTTCCCGGGTCTGGCGCAGTGACCGGAACGGATAATTTTCACCAGCGTATTATTGCGCCAAGTGACTGCAAAGTGTTAAAGGCATAAAGCATTCAAATTTTCAGTTTCGAAGGACTCTTTAGCTCTGGAAATCACTAAACTGGCAGTCATTTCCTCGTTAATTTTACCTCTAAGACCATGTGACCTCCACCTCTTTCAAACAGAAACATCTCAGCTTCTATTCAAAACAGATGGGTATTCTCTTCATCAAAAAATAGACAAATGAACTAGGTTAAAGATAATTCCACCCCCCGGGGCAGTGCCACTGACTGAAGTGTCTTTAGGCCCTTCCCAAAGGGGGGACATTTCTCGTTCAAGCATAGTAGAATTGTAAATGGGCTGACTCGTGTCACGCTCATAACTGTGCCTGATCTACAACAGGGAACTGCTGCTTTTTCTTTCCTGATCCTGACTATTGTCATTTTCCTCTACTTCTTTTGTATGTTTGTCACTCTCTTGTGACCTGCTATTTCCGGGGGGCCTTGATAGTCGAAGCAGACCTTGTGCTGTTGAAGCTAGAGAGGTGAGCAGTGTAAGTCTGATTCCCTGTAAAGACTTCTCTGTTGACACCCACCCCTTGGCGGTCATATGACCTTATGCAGTTGCGAGCGCCGTAAAACCCTCTACTAAAAGAAAAAAAAAAGATGATTCCAATAAGTCCATACGCTAAAAAATTGATGAGCTCCTGATTCTACCTTGTTGTGACACATATATATATATACATGTTGGAAAACAAGATGAATATGATGGCACGCTTTTAATTAATGGACATGCGGCTTAAATACATTGGACACTGACCTAACAGTCACTTGTCCAAGACAATCATCTGGACAAATGACTACACCTCATCCTTACTTGCCCCTTTGAGTTTTTTTTCTGTATAATCATAATAACATTGTCCAAGACAACCACATTTCTCCTCAACAATGGTTGGCCATCTTGGATAATTTCAACTGAACTGACTTTTTATTGGATTTCAATCTGTATCATTTTCTTGTCCCCTCATACATGATTTTATCCTGAAAATAAATTGGGAAATGTTGTTTTTGAAGATGTTCAGTTACTCCTATGTGCATAGTGTTGTAAGCGTGCTCATATGACCTTATGCAGTTGCGAGCGCCGTATAACCCCATACTATACTATACTTTACATAGTATTGTAACTCTGAGGTCTAAATTTCTTAACCAATTTCTTATATTCAGTATCAAAGAGGAGCCTACGGAGACGCCAGAGACACAAGCTAGAGTGAAGGAAGAACCACAATCCCCCACAGCGGCAGAGAGACGTTCCAGATCTGCGTCTTCGTCATCACAGTCTGGATCATCAGAGAGGTAAAATCTGATTTGTTTTAGCAAGAGTTTGACGGCATTTGCAACACAATTAGGTCTTTTAAGTGTCGAAGATTAGAGGTGTTATTAGAAAGTAACATTCATAGAAAAGTAGGAGGAGAGATTAGGATGGTAGATGTTTGATAAGAATTAAGGAGCAAAAACCACACCAGAGCATCCGCCAACATTTATATAGCTTGTCCACTAAGAAAGTGCTCAATGCACTTAACAAGTGGGTGGTTGGCGGGTGCTCTGCTCCTTCTTTCCTATATAAAATCTGTAGTCTCTATCTCCCCTCCTTCTTTTTTGTGTTTGTTACTCTCTTGTAACACCTCTCTAGTCTTCGGCACTTATAAGACCTTATTGTGTTGCAAGTGCTGTAAAACTCTTACTAAAACTATTTTTTAAAAGTACTTTACAATAACACAGTAGAGTCTGGTTTATCTGAATACAACAGTAAACCAAAAGACAATAAAATTCCCTATTTATTTTTGTGCTCTTGAGCAGCTTCTCTAAATAAAAAACCCAGCCAAACCGAAGAAAATATGACGGTCGGGCAGATTTCAGTCCCAAGCTGACTCCACGGTACGGATAGTTTACTTCTAATAGTGATCCTTTTACTCCATTCTCTCTCTCTCTCTCTCTCTCTCTC